TGTGTGTGACTGGCTCAGCCCTGGTGGTGCTGGTGCAGCAGGTGGGGCAGGGGATCGAACCACAGTCCCTGCACTTTGCACTGAGCTATCTTGCCTGTCTTCTGTCTGAGTTATTACAAAAAGTCACTTTATAGCAACTCTGTTTCTTTGCCTGGCCTTGAGGCAGCTTCAGATGATAAAAGACTCCAAACTGCGAGAGAAAATACAATAGGAAATGCGTTTAGCACCAGCTTCTGAAATGAGTTCAACTAACATTCATCTGAATTTGTAAATCACAAGTACCCAATGTGAACCCAAACAATTTTCTTTTAAAGTCCTGGGAAGAAAACCTTAAAACCTGTTTTAAGGAAAGGCCCTGAGACATTAGGAGTCTGACAGAGCCAGAACTGAAACGTGTTTTTCCACCTTGACAAAAGCAATAAACAAAATAGGTCCCAGCAGGGCGTAGTGGCACATACCTTATCCCAGCACTCAGGAGGCTGACACAACAGGATCGTTGTGAGTTCGAGGCCTGCCTGGGCTACAAAGCAAAACCCTGTCTCCTGTCTTTAAAAACAAAATAACCAAACAAAAATCCAAGTCGTCGTGGATACTGGGAAGTGACACTCTGGAGTGGAATTTCCAAGATCCCAGAGACTTTCTTCCCAGAATGCACCAGCAATCCAGAGCGGGTGAGTCTGGCACCTGGGCCTTGGGGCAGGGTGCGGTGGCACCTACCTGGGGCCTCCTGCTGCAACCTAGAATTCTCCTGTTACTCTCTGGAGCATCCTGCGAGCTTTAATAATTGCCTGGGTGCGATCTGCTTGGGCAGAAGGTGCGCGGGGGCTGGATCCAGCCGGCCCTCCAGCCAAGGTGAGCTCAAGGCTGCACATTTGCCCCCTCCCCACACTATGAAAGAGGCTTTTAATTCTCTCCAGCCGTCTCCCTCCCCCTTTAGTTTGTTTTCAAGCTGTAAATTCGCTCGACTCCCGCGACTCGCATTCATTAGCCAAGTTTGCGCAGACGAAAGCAGAACTACCTTTGGGCACGTAATGAGAGCCACCGCGTGGCCAAACGGCAGCACCGGGAAGAAGGAAACATTTCTATTCCGGGCTGCGGCGCGCGGGCAAGGCAAGGTTAAGCCGGTTGGAGACGCGTGGGACGCAGCGGCTCCCGAAGCAGCCTGGGCAGCGAGGCCGCCTTCGAACTCAGCAAACAAAGCGTCTCCGCAGTAACCGCGCGGCCCCAGCCACTCAGGCCGCGGAGTCGCAGCTCGCGGGCCTGCGACTCCTCCTCCCTACGATTCTCCTCCTCCTTTCCTGGCTCCGCCGCGGACGCCGGCCACCAATCCCAGCAACAAACAACCCTTCAAATGCCGGGGCGAGGCGGCCTCCAACGGGCGACGGGGATGCGCGCCCCTTTCAGCTATGCCCCAATTCGACTCCAGAGCCGGCGGCGCGGTGACTTCGTCCCGGGACCGGGCCCCCACTCCAGCCCGCCCCGGGCGTGTTTCAGATGTGTGTTCTCGGTGACTGCCGAGCAGTCGGCAAAACCGCAGGGGGAAAAAAAAATCCTAAGGTGCTGCCCGCTTACAGACGCGTTTTCTCTTGCTGATTGATTTGAAGCCCAGGTCACTGGAAAAAAACCCACGAGAACTTTTAAAGTTCTGGTCTCCCTGCACACTCGGAGAGGGGGAGGCTGGATTTAATTTTTCGCGGGAGCCTATACAGAGGCTCAAAGTTCCTGTTCGTCCCTAGATTTAATTTTCTTTCCATGCAGCTTCCTGTTGCCGAGGTCTCCATCCAGGTTGCCAATAAACAGCCCAGCGCCAAAACCGGAGACGGCTCCGGCGCGAACTTCGCTGTGGGGTTATTTACATTCAGGCTGTCTTCCTTCCTTCTGTCTTCCCTCCCTCCCTCCTTCTCCTTCCTTTTTTCCTTCCCTATCTCTCCCTCTTTCTTGTTATGAGACGTCTTACTCCCGCGCATGACAGCTCATTTGCTTTTGCTTCAAAACAACGGGACCTGCCCACGCGAAAAGGAGACGAAGAGGAGCGGGCACGCATGTTTTGAAATCAGCCCCACGGCATCTGGTCCTTCAAAGGGGGATTTCATCCAGGAACTCCTCTTGGAGTCCTGCCTCCCGACCAAAATAAGCCGACAAGTATTGACTTCATGACTAGTTTCCGTTTGAAACACTGAAGGGGAGGGGGTGTCCCCCGGCGGCGTTTGAGTCCTAAATGTAGACACTGTTTACCGAAACGGATGAGCAGTCATGGCGCAGTCGCCCCCTTCCTCTGAAGACAGCAGCTGTCGGGGTCCGGGGGGTGGAAGGGTCGCGGCGGGGCGAGCTCACGCCCCGCAGTCCCCGAGCCGAGCCGTTTAAAGAGCATGTGAGCGTGACAAGTGTCTGCGCAACGTGTTCGATTTCGAAACTGCCATGCAATCCAATCCGGAACTCGCAGCTCTAGCCCCGGGCAGCAGACAGACATTCGCCCTGAGTGTCTCCGTCTCGAACGCCCACCCCCAGCCCCCACGGTGGCCGTGGGAGGAAGAGCCCCGGAGGAGAGGGTGCGCCGCGCCGCGCCCGCGTGTCCCGGCAGCCGCGCGCTCTGGAAGAAGTTGCTTCTTGTCCGGAATGCTTTTCCTCTCGCGCCGCGCCCCGCCCCTTGAATCACCAGCCGCGGTCTCGGGCGGCTGGAGCAGGCTGCCCGGAGTTCGGGGCAGCTGTCAAAAAGCGCTAGGCTTTTCCTCCCCGGGGTGAAGGAGGGGAGGGAAGGGGGCGTCCTCTTTTCCATCTGTTGCAATTTCCTTGCCGGGCGCGCGCTCGCCAGCCCCGGGAAGAAAGACCTGGAGAGGGATGCGGCTGGCGCGCGCGCGTCCTGCGGGGACCGCGTTTTGGGGCTCGGCCACCCCCTCGGGGGGTCTGTGACAGCGGCCGTGTCCTCGCTGCAGCGGCGGCACCGGGTCCGGTCGGGCCCGGCTAGAAGGTGCGGGGGAGGGGCGGCAGGCGGGCGGGGGCCGGGCCGGCGAGCGGGCGGGCGGGGCGGAGCAGGACCTCCCGTACCTTCCCTCGCGCCCGCACTCTGACAGCGCCGAGGTGCACCGGCGGGAGCGGGGAACAAAGGAGCGCCGTGGGGAGGGCAGCCCGGGCCGGCCGCCCAGCGCCCCGAAGAGGGGAAGCCCGGGTGTCACTCGCGTTCCACCCAAGGAGCGGGCGCCGGCGAGCTGAGCGCCTCGTGGAGCAATAACGGCCGGAACGCGTCTCACAAGTTACCGGAGAGTCAGCGGTGCGGGCGGTCGGTCGCCTGTCTCCTGAGACCCCAGCCCTGCCCCGCGCTGGGAGGGCCGATTCAGGATGAAAAGCAAGAAAGGTGAGGCGGGGCGTGGGGCAGCGCGCGGGGCGCGGGGCGAGTGACTCGGGGACACTTTTCTGCCTGGGGGCTGGCTTTTCGGCTGACGGGACAGCCGCCCTCTTTGTTGAGGCTGTGTCTGGAGCGGCTGGGGCTGTTCTAGACACAACACGAGGCGCTGCTGGGGGAGACGAGCCCTCCATGCTGCTGGCACCTTGTCAAGAGCACGCTCGGCGCCTTGTTTGTGCGCCTCCAAGTTTCATTGTCTGTGCTGCCTCCCCACGCCGCCGCGTGGCTCCCAGCTACCCCGGCTGCGGGGGGCGTGAGGTCCGCTCCGGAGGACCCCCGCCTTTGTCTGAAAGGTGCGTTCCGGGGATCCTACGCCCCACTGGACCCTGCCACTTCCTTAGGGGTCTTGTGTTTTTCACAATCCGGGGAATGTGATCCCAGACCCCCCTCATCGCCCTGGGTGAGCACAGCTTTGGAAAGTGAAGACTTCCAAACTCCCAAGCCTCCCAAAGTTTTCCCACGATGAACTGGGAACAAGGTGAGGAATTTGGGACACGGGGTCAGCAGCGTGCGGTGAAAATGCAGCCGAATCTGACAGGCAGGCCCAGTTGTAAGTGCGGAGAGTGAGGCTGTCATTGTTTCCACGGAGCGGTCTGGAAGGTTTACAACTAAAACTTGCCGTCAGTCTGGGTTAAAAACAAAATACACTGGGGGAAAGAAAAACAACTACGAAAGGTTAAAGACTATGAAGTCCCTTTTGAAGTTAACTTTGGAGTCCTGGGCTCGGTGGTCCCCCGAGTGTCCTCTTGTGGACGGCACAGGGTTCTTGGTTGAGATTTGAGTGGAGTGGCTCGAAACAGAAGTTAATCGCCCGGGGATCTAGAGAGGGCGGCGGAGGCGCAGCTGCGCATGCCCAGGAGCGCCGGCTGGAAAGCACATTCTTCTAGACCCTGGCGGCGGCTCTGCCCTGGGGTTCCCGTGGGGGTTCTGGTGGGAGACCCAAAAACGCGCGGGACTTTCCTGCTCCCCCACTCTACTGTCCCAGTGGGAGTGAAATGAAGCGTGAGCACTCAGTTCTTTCGGAAGGAGGCCTCCTGGCGGACCCTTCTCTTGGGGACATGGTGGAAACCTGGGCGATCCAAGTTGGGGACATTTAACTTGCCTCCGGAAACGCGTGGGGGCGTTACGCAAAGCTTTGTGCCCTGGGAGCGCCAAGGGCCAGACTAGGGTAGGGAAGCAATCTCCGTCCCGCGGAGGCTCGGGGCGCCAGTGGGGATCTATGTTTGCGGAGTGGCTTGGGGCACAAAAGGCGAAGCTTGAGTGTTTAGCGGGGTCAGTGTCGGGGAGACTCCATTGTCCCAGCTCTGGCGGGTCGGGTTGGATTCGCCCCCCCCACCGGACACCTCGGCCCCGCCCCCTGGCGCCCCCTCCCCCATTGAGCATCAGCCCACTCTCGCCCGGGGGATCCCCCTCCCCCAGCCCAGGACTCAGGCTGGGACTGCAAGCGGGCGCCGAGGAAAATTCGGGATCCCCAATTGTGGGCGCGCGGGGTTCCCTGATACTGCTCCGCGCCGACACCTGGAACACAATGGAAGGTGACGAGTTGGAGGGGAAACTTTGTGACTTCTCCGCGGCTCGTGAAGGTGGGGGCAGGATTCTCTTAGGTTTTCCCAACGGGTGGTCAGGGTTCGGGAGCTTGAGGCTGGGTCCGCGGTGGCTAGGTTCGGGTAGGGCTGAGACCCTTGCTGGAACAAAGCTGCGCGCTGAGCCCCTCCCCCTGCCCGTCCCCCGCACCAGCTGGGCTACCTGGGAGGGGGCTCCCTGCCCCTCCTATTGTGTGTCTTAGAAAAATCTGAACTTCTTTTCAAGTTTCCCTAAAACAAATGTATTTATAACTCGGGAATGACGTGTCATAGTACTGCAGATCTTTTAGAAAGCCTTGGATTGCCAAAAAGGATCTAAAATGGCTTAAAAAGAAGCAGGAAGAAGTTTGGTTCGGAAAACCCCTGGAGGCTTTTTGCTCCCAGTGTGTGATTGTGTTGAATTCTTTGGGACTCGCCCCTCGCTTCGGGGTTGCTCTTTGGCCGGGCCAGCCCAGTGTACCGTGGACCAAGTTTTTAAAGTTCCATCTTGCTTTTCCAGAGGGGAGAGGGTCTCCTCGAAAAACTCGTTAGCGTAGCCTTGCATTTCCTTAAACTTCCCAACTTGGTCTTCTAGATTCTGCTTCAGTCCCCTTTAGATTTTTGAAATCCAACTTTACAACCAATCTCCCCCAACCCCACCCCCTTCTTGGTTTTTCAAAGTTGTTCAGAAAAAAGAAAGTGCAGAGTCAAGACTGCTTCCCGGAGCCGTGGGATCCGCAGGCCATCTTGTGGCTTTTCCAGACTTGTGTTTCCTTGTGTGTGGATGGGCTAAGAGGCTTGTGATTCTGTCCCCCGCCCAACCACATTTTTTAAAAGTGTAAGCAGCAGAGCAAGAGGTTTGGAAACAAGTCGTAACCGGGAAACTTTTCAAAGGCTCTGTTACAGTAGGAAATGAGTAACGAGGAAAAGGCCTTTTTGTTTTTTCCAACTTGAGCCACCATCGGGAGGGGGAGTTTTAATGCAAACAGCCCTGACAGCGGCAAGCGTGGTTTAGCCCAGGGACTCGACTTCACTTCCTGTTTCTGAGCTTTTGTGCACATACTGGAAATATTTGCTACAGACCTAGAGGCTTGGACTTCTTTTTTCTTTTTTTCCTTTTTTTTTTTTTTTTTACCCCCTTTGCCTTTTCGAATGAACTGAGCAGAGTCGAGTCGCTCACAGTTCAGTTGGTGAGAGCTTTTGTTTGTCACTAGTCCATTCTGGAAGATCGGGCTTCTTGTCAAAGTAAACTAGTAGTAGATCAAAGGCCGGGCTTCAGGGCTTTGCTGCGGGTCTGGAACTCTTACCAATTTACAGTCGGGACTGCAGTGTTGCGTGAGCAAATGCTCGCATTTTCTAGGTTTTACAAAGTGGGCAGAGGAAAAGAGCCGTGGAGAATTCTGTTGGGCTTTTCAAACTTCGTAGAGTTTAAACAAATTGCTTTATTCAAATTTGCTGTAATTGTTCGGTTAACTCGACACGTGTTTAAAAGTGAGATTTCCCTCGTTAGCAAGCCGAGGAACTCATGCTTTCTTACGGTTTTATTCTTAAGAATATTACACCCAAATTGTAATACGGGTTTTAGAAGTTTCTCAGTTTTCTCAGCAGTGAAAGCGGTTTCGGTTTTAAACATGCCCTTTATTTAAACTTTTTTTTTTTCTTTTTAGAAATGCTTAATTAAATCTTCCGGGGAAAGGAAACTTCGAACAACATGGCAGTTAAAACGTTGGGGTTCTGGTGTGGTTTATTTATGGCTGTTTGCTAAAAGCCTTAAACTACGGTGAATTTGCGGAATCATCCACCTCCTTTGTTAGAACTTGCTGGCTTTGTGGAGGATTTTTCCTTTCCTGTAGGAACGCCCTCCCACACCTTCGGCCCCCTGCAGTCCAAAGTTAAAACTGTCACCCAGCCAAGGCAGTCCTTTGCTGGAATTCAGAAAGCTCTTTAAAAACACAGTTGATGGTGTAGCCCTAGGAGGTTTTTTCCCCCCTATCACGGTGAGCCAACTCAATTAAAACAGGTCTTTTTTCTTTCACCAGAGTTATATACTACGGAAGGAAAAGTTCACAAAGCTAAAAATTTAAGGTTTTTAAAATTAATCTCCCTAATATAAAAGTGCTAGCATTTTAAAACATGCTTATATTTGTTACTTTATACTTAAAAATTTTTGAAGTGTCTCTAAGATGTCTTCAGCCACTCAAGAGTTGGGGGTTTGGAAAGTGGGGTTCAATGGCATTTATTATTTAAAAAATTTTAAGGTCAGAAAGACACTTAGATGTGAAGACCAGGCAGGTTGTGAGTTTTTACTGAAATTGGTGTGTCAGATTTAAATGTTATTATGCCTGTGGATTCTTTAAAATTTGTGGTAGGATTAAAGTGCTTAAAACTCAAAGAACTTCCCTTGGGAGATGCATATGCCCGTGTTCTTTGTCATGTAAGGATTTAAGCCTGAACTATTGATATGCATAGTCGCCTAGGCTTATTTGCTAGTTGGTATTTTTTGACAACTTTCTAAAGTATTAACAGTAGGAAAATAGTTTTGATAATGAAACTGAAAACTGCAGTAGTTGTATTTACTTAAAAGTGACTAGTACTGTATGTACTTAAAGTAAGGGCTTAATTTTGAATAAATTTAGATAGCAATGAATAAAAAGGGGTCTTGGCCTTAACAGCATTTAACAAGTATTTTACTTTTAGAATATTAACAGGTTGAAAAAAAAAAAAGAATATTAACAGGTTGTTGTGTGATTGTCTTTTCTTTATTAGTAAAAACAATGCAAACCCTTCTTTCAAACCTTCAGTGAGGAGAGGAAGTTTAAACTGTAGCTGTCCCTGGTTAACAGTGAACCTCAGAGGTTATTGGACATTCCAATTACCTAATAACATTTCTGTTGTAAATGTAGCAAGTTACTGGCTCTGGGCACAGTTGGTAAACTTTGAGCATTGCCCAAAGGAATGTGAGAAGTTAAATCCCAGAGCGAGCCTGTAAGAAGGGGCTTGGAAATCTACTGTGTGCTGCCAGCCACATTATTGTGGGAGGCTTTACTTGTTTGTAACTCAGGACAGAAAACACCAGTCCTTTGTTCCGCTCTTGCCAGTGGAGGAAACGCAATCACACCAACCCTGGGGATTAAAGGAGCTCTGTGATTGTTGCCTTGCTGATAGCGCCAGTGACAGTGGCCTTGCCTTTTCCTAGGTGTTGTCACAGTATCCGGGAGTGAGACTGAGGATGAAGACAGCATGGACATTCCCTTGGACCTCTCCTCCTCTGCCAGCTCCAGCAAGAGGCGGAGAAGGGGCAACTTGCCTAAGGAATCTGTGCAGATCCTGCGGGACTGGCTGTTTGAGCACCGGTATAATGCCTACCCCTCCGAGCAAGAGAAGGCGCTGCTGTCACAGCAGACACACCTGTCCACGCTGCAGGTATCTTCTGGGCTGGGGGTCCCAGGGCCACCGGCTGGGCTCGTGGTCCCCCCCCCCCAGCAGCACAGCCCCCCCAGCCACGCGCACAGTTTAATTTCCAAAGTCATTTTATAGCATTCCTGTGTGTTAGGTCATAAAATACGTCCCCTCTCAAAAAAGAAGGCATACTTTTGTACTATAAACTCTACAGTGCTAAAAGCTAATAAGTGGCTAATTAGAGAGCACAGAAGCACTTGACAGTCATCTGCCAAATCGCATTCTCCTTAAAGCCCCAAAGAGAACTTATCCTCTCCACCACAGACATTTGAAAAAAAAAAAAAAAAAAAAAGAGAGAGAGAGGAGGTGAAACCTTCCTCTATTGCCCAGGAAACTGGTTTGAAATTTAAACAAGGACAGACTTCGGTGAGGTAATTCATGTTGGGTCTGTTGACACAGTCATTTGAACCAGGAGAAATCAGTTACTGGGGGGTGTGGTGCTCTTCATAGAGGAAAGACTTTCCAGTCGTTGGTTAACTTCAGTGCCAGGGCAGTAGGTAACAGGGTAAGAAGGGGAGAGTTAAAGGCAAAGCTGAGTCACTGGCAGGTGTTTTGAGAACGGATACCTTCCTCCCCCTCCCACCAACGTGAAGGCCGGTTGACCGGAGAGCAAATGTGAGACCCCTCTCCTCCCAAGGGGAAGGGTCACCCCCAACCCCGCCCTCCTCCCAGGTGAGGAGGTGCTGAAGTGCCCCCGCTGTGATTTCAGGTCTGCAACTGGTTTATCAACGCCCGCCGCAGGCTGCTTCCAGACATGCTGAGAAAAGACGGCAAAGATCCAAACCAGTTCACTATTTCCCGCCGTGGGGCCAAGATTTCCGAGGCAAGCTCTCTGGAGGCCGCAATGGGCATCAAAAACTTCATGCCAGCCCTGGAGGACAGCCCGGCGCACTGCTGCACAGCTGGACCAAACCCACTCCCGGGCCGGCCGCTGTCCCCGGGGCCGGTGCTGTCTCGTCCCTCTGTGATCTGCCACACCACGGTGACTGCCCTGAAAGATGTGTCTTTCTCCCTCTGCCAGCCGGTTGGCGTGGGACCAAATGTAGACAGCGAGCAGATCGCGGCCAGCAGCTTCACAGAGACGTCTCTGGGGTGCCCAGAGGACGCGTGTAAGTCGGGGCCCAGCGCAAACGCGCAGAGCGGTCTCTTCAATACCCCTCCACCCACACCTCCGGACCTCAACCAGGATTTTAGCGGATTTCAGCTTCTCGTAGATGTCGCTCTCAAAAGGGCCGCAGAGATGGAGCTTCAGGCGAAACTCACAGCATAACCCCTTCTCCAAAACGCGTCGTGAGTGCCGGGGTGTTGGCAAGAGTTGAATTGCATTATTTTATATATATTTTTTATCAATATTTGCACAAGGGATTGCTAAAACCAAGCTTCCTGTTACTGAGATGTCAATGGAATACAGTCATTCCAAGAACTCTAAACTCAAAGCTACTGTAGAAACAGAGGTTTTTTTTTTTTTTTTTAAGTGTTTCTTGGTAGATTATTCATAATGTGAGATGGTTCCCAATATCATGTGATTCCCCCCCCTCCTTTTTCCCTTTTTTGTTGGGTTTTTTTTTGTTGTTTTTTTTCTCCAGACTGTGCAATACTTAGCGCATACTTAGCATCTGCCATTCCTGTGCGGAGCAGGATGTCCACATACTGTCTAATACATTTTCAGTTTTTTTTCAAACAAGTATGAATCTAGTTGATTGATACCTTTTTTCACGATGTAATAAAGTATTTTCTTTAAAAGTTACTGTAATGCAGAGTGTTTTGTCCAAGGAGGAGGCACTTGTTAAAAGAGTGAGGAGGGCACCACTAGCGTTCCGGGGAGCAGGAAGCTGGCCAGGGTGGGGTGTGAGTTGGGGGTGTCGCTTGGGCCTTGGAGTGCCTGTGGACAACGAGCTTTGTGTATAAACAGGGTGTGTGGTACTTACCCTCCATAGAAGACAGCTGGCCTTGAAGTCATGCCTGAAAGCCATTGAGGTGAATCATTTCATCCATGCTTGCGCTTTGAATTTTAATTTTTTGATTTTTGAAGATTAAAATGTAGTGATAGAAAAAAACAGGATTAGAAATGATACTAAACAAAGCAATAGGAATTAGACAATGGTTGCTGCATTCCATGATGCTGTCTTCAGGTTAGTTTTCTGATTACCAGATATAAATGTGCAAGATTCATTTAAAGAAAAAAACAGAATAATCGTGCTTGGTCTTTGTCACCTGTTCTGCATGTTTTAAAACACTGGAAAAGTTCTGAAGCAGCGCATGGTGGCTTGTTTCAGAAGTAGTCAGCATAAGGACTCTTACTGTGCCTTTCCAGGTTAACCTTTGCTCTGTACTGGTCAGGTAAGGCCCTTGCATTCAAGTGCAGCATTCATAGAACTTTGAAAACACTTGGAGAGTTTTCAGCGAGGCTTCAGTCCAGGGCGGGATTGTGAGTTTACTAGGTGCACATTTTGCAGGGTTGAAGTGCATGAAAAAAAAACGGTGGCACCAGACCAATGGGGTTTGTTGGGATAGAGACAATGACTTCTAAAAGCCAGATGGCTGGAGGGAGGGAGTGACTGCCTTTGACTTGACTTGTCACATGCCATAGAGCCACTTCACGTCCTTAGGGCAAGGCTGCTTTGTTGCTGGAGTTGAGCTTTTCCAACCCTGCCCAGCTAAGAACTGTCTCAAGTTTGAAGGCTGAGGAAGGCAGACAATTGTCGGCATGCACTTGTTTGACACCTTGTTCCTAAAAGGCTCCTTGCTATACAGAGACTCGGTAAGCAGACAGGAAAAAGTCACAACCAGGAGGTATTAAGAGAATGAAGAGAGAAAGATGGGGAGTCCAGTCTGTGGGGGTGCTGTTTGCAGAGCCCAAGAGGGTCCCAGACATAGATAGGCCAGAAAAAAATGAATACATAGAAGAAACAAACTTTAAGAACCCTGGCTTGGCCAGATGTGTTGCACACCTATATCCTGGCGCTCTGGGACACTGAGGCAGGACAATCACAAGTTCCAACCTAGACAGTTCAACAGTTTAAGACTCAAGGCTAGGGATGAGTAGCTCAGTGCAAAAAAGACACTGGGCTCAATTCCCAGTCTCTTCCCCCCCCCCCCCCCAAGAAAAAAAAGGCAAAAAAAACTTGTTCCAGGAGCTAGAGCGAAGGTCCCAAATTTTTTAGTACATAGCCAGGAGACCTTCCCATGTTAGAGTGCTTGACCAGTCATCTTTAAAAAGGAGAAAAGGGGGGCTGGGGAGGTGGCTCAGTAGAATAAGCACTTGCCTGACAAGCACAAGTGCCTGAGTTCAATACCCGGTTCCGAAAAAAAAATTAAAAAAATAAAAAGGAGAAAAGGGATCCTGAGTGCAACAGGTAGGGCTGGGGATTTAGTTTAACAGTAAGGGTGCTTGCCAGGTGCGCTTGATGCCTTGTGTTGAGTCTCTGGCAAAAAGAAAAAGCTCAAGGACCGATGAAATCCAAAGGTATGAAAGTTTTTAAGTTTCCTGTGTTTTATGTAATTTGTCTTCTCTTGAGGTGATAGAGCCCTGATTAATAATAGCTGATGTAGAGAGAAGCTGTTGTTTTGCATGCAGGATTCTTTCTTTCCACTCCTATTAGTACCTGAGGTCTGCAGGAGGTGGTGGTCACAGATTGCTCCAAGTGCAAGACACACAGTTTTCTATTTCCTCCCTCCACCCTGCAGATCAGATCTATTTATTTATAAGACCTTACTAATCATATACAGATTGTAAACCAGGCAAATAGGCCAAAGAACATAAAAGATGTAGGCCAACTACTAAGTCAAGGTATACTTTTATTTATTTATTTATTTAAATTTTTATTTGTGTGTGTGTGGCCAGCTCAGCCCACCAGGGGGTGGGGCTGGCTGGCATGTGGTGCTGGGGGATTGAACCACGGTCCCTGTGCTTTGCTAAGCTTGTTCTAAGTAGGTGCTTTAGACCACTGAGCCATCTCACCAGCCCCCCCTGTGCTTTGTTAAGCTTGTTCTAAGTAGGTGCTTTAGACCACTGAGCCATCTCACCAGCCCTCAATGTTGTTTTAATTTACATTTCTGGAATAGCTAGTGATGTGGAACTTTTTTTTTTTTAGCCATTTGTATATTTTTATCTGAAAAGTTTCTTAACTTCAGTTGCACATTTTTATTATTGTTATCATTTTCTGGGTCCTGGGGATTGAACTCGACCTTGTGCTTGCAGGCAAGCGCTTATGCCTCTGAGCTATCTCCCTGGCTCCAGTGTACACATTTTTAAATTGGGTGTTTAAATTTGGGGGCTTGAGGGCGGGAGAGATGGCTCAGTGGAATAAGCGCTTCTCTGGCAAGGGCAATGGCCTGAGTTCTAATCCCTGGTTCCGCCAAAAGTAAATAAATAAATAAATAAATTTGGGGGCTGTCTTAATATTTCTTTAGTTCCTTATATATCCTAGGTAATAACTTGTCTAAGGAATAGGTGGCAAATTTTTTATATCTTGTAGGTTGTATTTTCATTCTATTAGTGGTTTCCTTTGCTGTGCAGTAAATATGAACCATCATCTTGAAACAGATAAATACCATTGAATAGGTAAACAGTCTATTCATATCAAAGCCATACAAAAATCTTATAATTCCTATTTACATAGTACATCTTTTTTCACTTATTTTGGGGAGTCCTAGAGATTGTACCCATGCTAGCCAATCATTCTTGGAGTTACACCCCCAGCCTTTTAAAAATTTTAAAATTTTGTTAATCATTTATTTATTTGCTTGTTTATTTATTTATTTGGTGCAGGGTCTTGCTGTGTGACTTGGACTCATAGTGATCCTCCTGTCTCAGCCTCCCCAGCACTGGGATTACAGGTGTGCGCCACCACGCCTGGTTCCAGTGGCCAGCTTTGGCGTGGGGCCGGCATGGCATGCTGTACAGGGATCGAACCCAAGTCCTTGTGCTTGCCAGGCAGGCCCTTAGACCACTGAGCTATCTCCCCAGCCCCCGTTTAACTTTTTTTGAGACAAAATCTTTCTATTTTATTCAGGCTGGCTTTGAATTTGTGATCCTCTTGTCTCCACTTCCAGAGTAGCTGGGATCACAGGGCTGTGCCATCACACCGGGCTGTTTAATTTTAACCCATTTATGCTTTGATGTTTGAAACAGTCTGATAAAGTGCCTCACTGAGTCTTGCTGCTTGTCTAGGTCACAGATTTGTGCTGCTCCCTCAGCATTTAGTCCCTTTCCACTTACCGTAATTACTGATATGTTTGGATTCAGCTTAGAATGTTTTGTTGTTTCTCTTTTCCTGCTTTCTGTTGGATTTTTTAATTCAATTTTCTATTGGCTTATAAACTATGCCCTATTATTTTTAGTGGCTCTTTCAGGGATTACAACATACATCTTTAACTTGCTAGCATTGCATTGTTAGTATTATATAGCTTCATGTGAAATTCGGAGCCTAGAACAGTGTAGTACCACTCACTTTGGACCTCTTCCTTTGGTTTTCATATACAGTAGTTCTGTCTACATAATAAACCCAACAGGCGAATCCTCTCATTTTTGCTTAAAATATGCATGTAGCTGGGGAGACAACTCAGCAGCGTAAGTGCCTGCCTGCCAAGTGCAAGATCCTGAGTTAAATTCCTGGTACAAGAGGTAA